CTTTTCCAGCATTCGGTCAGCCCTGGAGCTCCAGGCGGGGAAAGAAAGAGAGGCCAGGGAAGACCAACCCGAGTCGTCGTCATCCATCTCGCCGTTGAGCTCGGCAGCCCGGATGAGGCGGGCCTCCATCACCTCCATCTCCATGGATTCCATCTGCTTCTTGAGCGCGTCGTACTTGGCCTGGAGAAAGAGGGGAGGGGTTTGGGGGCCACAGACTCAGAAAAGGCCTTTGATCGGACTGCAGCTCTTGGACTGGGCACCCCATGAACGGTCAGCAGGGCACGGGAGGGGCCCCTGGTCTATCAGGCACCCACCAGCTTTTGGAGATTATAAAGCAAGCTTTGAAGGGAGGGGGGTTAGGATGCCGGCTCAGCGTCCTTTAGTGCTACTTGTAAACCGAACTGATGGAGGCTCCGTTCCCAACGGCTGGAGGAAACCGATGTGCCCCCACGGAACAGCCTCGTGGGGGCACACTGGCCTAGAACCGGGCAGGTGGGGGGCAGTTCTTCGAAACTCTCTGCGCTCTGCCGCCCCTCTGCCTATTTCCCCTGCCTCCTCACTGCTTCTGGCCCACTGGGCTGACCTGAAGGTCCTTCATCTCTTTCTCCGCTCTCAGCCGCTCGGCCGTCTCTGCGTCCAGGAGTTGGGAGGCCGACTCGCCCGTGTTCCTCTCGTCGGTCAGCTCGGAGGTCAGCTCTGTAATCTGGGGGACAGGAAGGCGACGGAGAGGAGCAAAAGTCAGCCAAAGAAGCAGGAGCAGGGATGACCCACAGACAGAGCTTGGGGACACTTCCTTTTTCACGACAAGGACAACCAGAATGATCCCCCCCACCCCGAAAGGGATGCTGGCAGCTGTAGAAACCCACCTTGCTTTCCAAGCGGTCGCTGTTCAGCCGCAGCTCGTTCCGCTCTTTCTCCACCTTCTCAAGCCGGCTCTTCAGCTGCTGGATCTCTTCCTGTCCAGGAGGGAAAGGCCAAGGTCAGGTCGAAGGTCTCCCACGAGGGATCCACCTAGTAATTCTACCTCAGAACTGGGAGCCGGAGGGGTGACTCTCCAGGGAGAGAAGGTGGCGTCCGGGCTTGGGCGGTGGATTCTCTCTTAAAAGGAGGACTTCCGAGGAGCAAAGAATGGGAAGGGAAACCTCCAGGCAACAATGGTTGTCCAGAATCTCAGTGAAGACCTGGCTCAGCGGGAGGAGCTGCAAGGGTTCCAGACAACCTGCACCAGCGCGTGGAAAGGTTTCTTCCTGGTGACGATGTTACCCAGCACTGGTGCAGCTTTGCAAGAAAAGTCTTCAGGAGCAAAGCCACTCAAGCGAGGAAGCCACCCCCGCGACCGTTCCATGAGGAACACAAGGACAGACAACCCGCTTGCAGCTGTAGAAAGGCCCACTCCGCCCCCCAGGGCTCAAGGTTCACCACCCTTCCCCCTTCCACCCGGGGACCCTACGTACATCTTTCCCCCGGATCTGGTCTTCCGTGAGCTGGACCTCAATGAGAGGCCGGACGGTAGTGAAGAGCTTCCACCAGGGCCAGTCCTTCACCCCTTTGTTCTTCTTGATGTTCTTCTGGACGCAACGGATGGCCAGGTCCTGAATCTGTGCAATTTGGAGGGAGGGGAAAGAAGACGGGGGAGGGGAGAGAGAGAGGAGGGAAGAGAATCCCATTAAGAGCACCCTCCAGGTTTGTGCGGGGCAGTGAGAGCCCTGGAGTCAACACAGATGGGGCCTGAGGGTGGTCTTCTACTCTCCTGAAACATGACAGGACCAGGCGGGACGGTGGGAAGGCTCCAAAATGCAAAGGTCGAGGAGCCCTCCAACATTTTGCCTGTTTTTAAATTTTATTATCATTTGCCGTTTGCAAAACACCTTCTCCAGAACCCAACCGTAAAGCCTAATCTTGCCGAAAACAGGGGGGGCCTCCCTCCTCACTTCTCTGGTTTATGCTCTCCATCATAAACGGAGTAGCTGACACAGCTCTTTAATCTTCGCGTAACAGTCTCCACCCGCCCTGCTGCAGAGAGCAGCCCCAGCCCGGCTCCCACCCCATAAACCCCAGCACAGCGTGAAAGAGACCGAGCAGGGAGAGAAAGCCAGCCAGGAGGACAGGAATCCACGGCCTCTCTCTTTCTCTCTCTGTGGGCCAGATGCTCAGGGGGAGGCCCCTCGAAGCAATCTCCCTGGAAAGTCTGGGGTCAGGCCTGGTCTGTCTGCAATACCAGCTGCTCCTGCCCCCACCTGCCATCGCCTCTTTGGTTTGGAAAGGGGGCAGGGGAAGGAAACAAAGAACCAAAAACCCACAGAGCTGATTGAGCACCTTTTTCTAGGGGCATGGCAGGTCTAAGTAGGCCATCCAACCTCCAAAGTGGGCCGAGGGGTGAACCCTCGCTCGGGTGCCCCTTCTCCGACCAAGCCTAAGGGTGCCTGGTAGGAAACGGGGCCCTGCAATGCCTTTGCTCCTTCCCCAAGTAGGAAGTAAAAGGCTTGGCCTTCTCCACCTGCTTCCTGGGGACAACGATTATTTATTTCTTATTCTGCAGCAGCCATGGGCCAGGTGAACATAATAAATATGGAGCCAGAATATGGGACAAAGCACACACCGAGCCGGGCCATGAGAACAAAACGGAACAGTAGAAGCCAAGGAAGCTCGGGGGGGGGGGGGTGGCCTTGGAGAAGGGAGGAAGAGAGGCAGATGGAGGATAGGCGGCTCTCAAGGAGGCCTTCCAGAAAGCCCAAAGAGAGGGGAGCATCTCTGTGGTTTAGAGAACACCCAGCCCCCACTCCCTGGTGTCCCTTCAGGTGAGTGGCACGACATTTCCCATCGTCACGCTTCATAGGTGGCCACATGAAGGCAGGGGAGGCGATCAACCCCTCTCAAAAGCACAGAGTCGGGAGAGGAAGTGAAGACGTCCCCACAGGGAGCGCATACAGCCCTTCAGAGGGTGCTGGACTACAACTCCCATCAAGTCCCCACCCATTCGGCCAAGAGGGAGGGACGATGGGAACGGCCTTCCATCCACAGCTGGAGGGCATGACACGTCTCCCACCTGTGGTCCATGTGCACCCGCCAGCAAAGCTCCGCAGGAGGCACAGAAACCCACCGGGGGGGGGCGGCTTCAGAGCCCCGCCCTACCTTCCTCTCAAGGCTCCCGGTGCCTTGCCATGCATGCCCCCCCGACCGACCACGCGCACACTTCAAGTGTCCCTCCACCCCCACCTGTTCACAGAGATGAAGGAGACACCTTTGACCCCCCCCAACCCCTTCCCTGGCCTCCTGTCCACACACAAGCACACACCCCTCCATACCTGTGGGGAAGGGGAAGAGCTGTCTCCCTGGTTCAAGGGAGTCCTGGCTGCCGCTCTCCCTGTGCAGCCGGCAATCCTGGGCCTCTGCCCAGCCTTTGTGGGAGGGAGAGCTGCCCATTTTAGGCTAAATGTCATGGGAGATGTAAACCTAAGAAGGGCGGAGGGGAGGGAATCTTGCGGGGGGGGGAAGAATTGGGAGAAGGGTGACGCACGCCTCCCTCCCTCCCCCTCCCCTCCGTCCCAGCCTACCTTCCTTTTCTTGAACTGCTGTCGGGCAAGGAATCCTCGGCAGGCCGCCTGGAACAGGGTGATGTTTCTGCTCATCTGTTTATCTCGCTGCTCCTCGAGTTTGGCCAACGTTCCTGCCCGGAAAAACACCTTCGGGGAGGAGAGAGCAGAGGAGGAAGGGGGTGAAGAAAGGGATCTCTTCCCTGCTCTCCCGATACAGCCTGGAGTAGGCTCCGAAAGGGGGGAAGGCAAGCAGAGATCCATGAAAGGTGCCAGTGAAACTTTTGCAGCGCCAAAGGAGAACGCTATCTTTACCATCATCCACCGCCAGGTGGGCAAATCAGGTCCTCCGTGCTCGCCCCATCCTCTGCTTGCTGGAGGAGCTGGCCCAGGAGAACACTAGCTGCTTTTGTGACCCCCTGTACCACAGGGCTCCCAGCGTGGAAAAAGGGGGAAGGTGCGGCAGAGCCAAAAGCAGCTGCTTCTCCTCAAACCGACCGCGTGGCAGCCCACACGGAAAAGAAAAACCCAACCGCTGAGGCTGCTGTGGGAGGCAAAGGTGCTACAGGTTTGAGAGGCCGGGTGCCGAAGAGGGGAGCCAGGCTGCTTATGGTCAGAGAGGCTTCCTCCCATCAGCAAGCCTGAGACGTGTGATGGCTTCCGTGGATGGAAATTTCTCAGAGGCCTCTCAGAACAAGGCAGCGGACACCCACCCTACAGTGTCTGCCAGGGCCTCAGGGCCACCGACACCACTCCCGGTCGAGGTCTGGGTCCCACGCGTGCCACCAGCCCCATTTAATACGGGAGACTTGCAGAGGGATGGGTGAGGAGGAGAGAGAAAGTGTGTCTGTGCGTGTGTGTGTACGCACACGCACATGCACACACACACACACACAGAGCTCAGCTGAGCCGGTCCCCTGTCCACTCTGAATCCACAGACTCCTGGAGTGTGCAGAATGGTTGTGACAGCCCTTCCCTGCCTCCTCCCTTTCTGCTAGGAGCGAAGATGTCCCCTCGCATTAGCCCCTGGCAATGTGGCTCCAGCGGAGGAGGAGAGAGGAAGCAGAGAGGCCTTCTCCCGGCTGCCCAAAGGAGCAGCTGCACCCTCCGACACATGGCAGTCGGAGGCTCCCACCCAGCGAGGCGCCCAAACGCACCAGCCCCGATCCTAAAGGGAGGTCAGCCGAAAGCAGGGCTGCTGACCCTGCAGGAATGGCAGGGATGGGTAGGGAGGGAGGGACAGAAGACAAGGGCCGGCCGTGGGATCCTGCTATGCAAGGGGGTGCGTGTTTCCATTGATAAAAGATCCTGACCAAAGTCATGTTGGTTACACCTGCTGACGTCACACAGTTCACATAAACCTCATTGGCAAGTTGTTGCATGTGAAGAGGTTAGTGTGAAGCGTCTGCTGTTGTGCAACACACACACACACACACACACACACAGGCAGGCAGGCCTTACCCGGCTGAGGCCCATGTGGAAGCTGCTCTTCTCGAGCTCCAGGGATTCCAGCAGTTCCTCCACCGCCTGGAAGGAGAGCAGGGAGGGAAGAGCGTTAGGGGCTGGTGGGCATGCCCGCTGAAGGGAGGTCAGGAAATGGGGGTGGGGGCTGCACGGGTGACCCCTCCGCTGGCCAAAGGGGAAGGGCTGTGGCAGGGAAGTGTGAGGGGGGGGGAGTCTTCAGGCTCGAGGCTCCAACCAGCCCCTTCTGGGGCTCCCCTAGAAAGCCACGCTGATGTTCCCGGGAGACCACCTTTGGGGCTCCCCCTCCCCAGACTCCCCTTTCCCCTCTGCCTCTCTGGCCATCATCACACAGGTGGGGAGGGGAGGGCGAGAGGGGCAGCACTTCTCCCCCTCTGCAGCCCTCGGCGCACCCGCTTCTCGTCGGTGACGATATAGTTGCGTCCGTGCTTCTTGGTGAGGTGAGGGGCCAGGACGTCGAAGCGCCGCCGGAACTCCGCAAAGACCATGTGGTCGGGGTAACCTGGAGCATCACACACAGGAAGAGAGGAGTGTGAACAGAGGAGAACCTGGGAAGGGGGGGGAAACAGCAATGGGGTGGGAGGGAAGGAGGGAGGGAGGGAGGCAGTCGGGGCAGAAGAGGGGAGCAACGCCTGGCGTTTCCAGGAAGATGGCGTGCCAGGAGCGATGATCCTGGCGTCCTTGCAAATTATGATGCCCACACTGCCTGAGGCACCCTCTGGACAGCGCAAGATCGCAGGGAGAAGGGAACTCCAGAGAGCATCAAGTCCATCCCTGCTTTCCATCACTTTCCTAACCAGCCGCTGACCAGCCTGCGCTGGAACGCTCTTGGCAAAGCAAGCTGAGGTTAGCAACTTCCGCAAGCTTCCTTCCATTAAACAAACAGTGTGCCGTCAAGTCAAATATGGCGTGAGGCAGAACCCCAGGTTCTGACTCTTCAGGGTTTTCCAGGGAGAGAGGACTCAGTAGTGAGGGGGGGCCTTCCCTTCTTCTGGGGGCGCCCTGCGACCACCGAGCCGCTTTGGCCCCAGGGCCACCCAGGCTGGCTCTTCTCCCAGGACACGCACCGTGGGGAAATCGCGCTCCCAACCTCTGGCTCCCCAGCCAGAGACCCAAACCACTGAGCTCTCCTGCCAGCTTATTCCCTTGAAGCCTGGCTTAAAGAGGGTCTTTGTTCTTTTGTTGGAAAGAGGACAAAAATGATGGGAGGGAAGGGAAAGGGTTTTGAGAGGAGAATTGTCAAGATAAGGGCAAGCGGAACGTCCTGCTTTTTTTTCCTTTCTTCTTTTTTTTTAAAGACGGGTACATTCCCAGTAGCTCATGATGCCAGGGGAAACTTGCTTTGGATGCAGGGGAGAAAGGCCCCCTGTCCATTTAAAGAAATGTTCTACCACAGTAAGAAATGCTGGAGCCATTAAAACACAAACACAGATACCAAGATGGAACTGCCTGATCTTCCCTCGCCTGCTGCCCCCCCAGAGCTGGGTCTCCCCCACCCCTCTGAGGCCTGAATTCCAAATATGGCCAAACGGAGGGAGAAGAGGCGAGACCTCCTCCTCCGCGCAAAACTTGGCTGCAGCAACGAGAGTGCGCGGGGGGGGGAGATGCGGAGCAGACAAACAACCTCCCCGAAGGCCTCGCCACACAAGGGGGGGGGGGTGTTTCCGCACTTCTGTGCCATCTTTGGTCGCTCAGGCAATTCCGAGCTCAGGAGGAGGAAGGCTTGGCCCAGGGGGCAACGAGAGTGCGCGGGGGGGGGAGATGCGGAGCAGACAAACAACCTCCCCGAAGGCCTCGCCACACAAGGGGGGGGGGTTCTGCACTTCTGTGCCATCTTTGGTCGCCCAGGCAGAGCCTGAGCGAGGCAATTCTGCGCTCAGGAGGAGGAAGGCTTGGCCCAGGGGATGAGTTGACCTTTGAAAAACGGTGAGGCCGGCGTGGAAGGAGGCAAACAGGCAGAGGGCAGGAGAGGACAAGCGCCCGAGGACGCATCGAGCGGGAAACATCTCCACAAATGCCTTGTTCTAAAAATCACACCTTAAATGCTGCAGAAGAGCCCCGAACAGCTGGTGGGCCAGGACGACATCTGGGCCCTTTATAAACACCAGGAAGCAAATAAACAGGCGGGCTCTCTTTCCTGCTCTTCGGGCCCTGATTCTAGGACTTCCCTGCACTGAGCTCCTTAACTCCCACCACCACCACCACCACCGAGATCCACAACAGCCCGGAAGTCACCCTTCATCCCACCAGCCTCTCCAGAAAGATGGACCCACGCCGGACGCTTCTGGGCAGCTTTCCCCCTCCGCCTGGCCAAAAGCCAATGGGGGAAACAGCTGGTGGCTGAATAGCCTTTCTGAGATGGCTAAAAAGCGGTTTGGAAGAGGTTTCGCTTCCCACCGAGTTCACACATGTGCCTTTTTCCTCACTGCCGTGACGGTTAATAGAACGCTTTTTCGGTGGGCTTTTGAAGCTGCCTTTGTTGACTAGAGATGAAAGAGTCTACAAAGATCTCTACCCACCCTTTTTTTCTTTGTTTCCAAATGGCCTTCAAATCCTTGGACCGAAAAAAATTAAGGTGGTTTCTTAATTCCCCCTTACAGAAAAGAGACGATATCAAACAAACGGCCCGTAGTTTTGTCCCACTTTCTGGCTTTTTTGTTGTTGTTTTTGAGGTGTTATGGAACAGCTGGGGAAGCAAGAGGGACAGCACAGGATCCTTCGAAGGGGGGGGTCTGCCTTCCTCGTGAAAAAAAGCAGGGAGGGGGATACAAAGGCACACTCTGGAGGCAAAGCACGGCAACCCTGTGTCCCTGCAGCCCGCAGGCAGAAGAAACAGGAGACATATTCTGCTATTGACTGTATATACGGATTGCAATTAAATTTATGGGGAAAGATAGCGGTGTTGATTCTTCAGGTCTTAATTAATCATCAGCACCATCGACCGGGTACTGCGTTTCAAACCAGCCCCCCCCTTTCTCCCCTCTCCTGCTGGACCATCGATCCGGGGTTCTGCGCGCCGCATTGATCGTGCTTCAGAGCACTAACAACCTGGTTTGGAAATAATAAACACCCAATTCCACCATGCATCTTTCGGAAGGACGGAGGCAGGAGGGAGCTCGCTCGCAAAGTGGGGCGAGGGAGCCGAGAGGCAGAGGGGGAATTACTAACGCAAACTGTCATCGCTGTTGGAGGAAGAGAGAGAGAGGAGACGGGGAGGAAGGAAGGCAGACCCACACATTAAGGGCTAAACTGACTGACTTTTCATGAACCCAGTTTCTGCAGGACTGTTTTCATACACATACCCCCACCCCCTGTGAAAAAAACTTATTTACTCCCATTGCTGCCGTTGAGGGTGTCACAAACACCGAATGCAGAATTACCCTCTTTGCTACGGGATCCCACAGGAGGTGGAATCTCACACCCATTTGATAGGAGAAGCTGGAAGGAGCAACGGGGGGGGGGGGGGGNNTGATGCCGCCAAAGCGACAAGGCAGGACAGTGCCAATCAAGTGGGAAGAGGCGATGATTGTTCTGGTGTTTCTGGGAAGCCTTTCCCCTCCACCAGAATGACAAGCAATGTATTGGGAGTGTCTCATTGAGAGCCGTGGTTCTCAAGCTGCTGGTGACACAGAGAAGGGAGTTGAGGTGGCACGTGAGCGATCTGAACCCAAGGCTCAGAACTCGCTCTCCCTCCCTCGCCAGCCGGGTCTCCTGCAAGCGGCACACGCCGTCTCCGGCCATCCCCCTGGGCCTCCTGGGCCTGAGGATCTCTTGGAACACACACACACACACACCCGTGTTTCTCCTAAACTCTGCCATCCCATTCTGCCTCCCCGTCCATTTCCTGCCAAGAAGGAAGGAACAGAAGGCCGAAGGAGGACCGAAGATGGGGGCACAATCATCCTGGGAGGTGAGGGAAACAGCGCGGTCTCCAGCCAGGAAAGGCGCTCACCTTGGCGATACATCCGGAGAGCGTCCAGGAGGCGAGAGCCCCGGATCTGGGCCCTCAGCAGAGGGACGTCCAGCTGCATGAGACCGGCCTCGCAGTGCTCCCCATGCAGGTCCAGCTCGCTAGTGCTCACCCGCCGGCCGCCAGGCCCCCGGAGGTCTCCACTCCAGCCGTCCACTTTGGGCAGGAAGCAGTGGACAAAGTGGAGCTTGGACTTCTTCAGGGTGTCGATGAGGGCATCCTGGGGGGTGGGGGGGGAGGCAAGGGAAAGAGGGCTCAGCCAAGGGAAAGAGGGAGGCCCCGGCCTCAGACCCCCTTCGTCCCAGGACCAAGGGCCCAGAGTTTGGTAGGTCGCTTTTAGGAAGGAAGAGGTTGCAGTTACATCTCCAAAACAATTAATTCGCTACCAGCACAGCTGGGGCAAGGCTCGGTCGGGTGCTTCTAAATAGGGGCTCTCCTGCTGCAAGAGAGTCGTTACTGGCAGATGGAGTTGAAGCAGGGTTTGGAAAGTGCCTTTTAGAAAATTATTGGCTGCTCTTATCAAGACTCCAAAGTAACTAGTTACCATTAGCGTTAAGACCCAATCGCTAAGTTCCTTTTCCAAAGTTATCACAAACCATCAGACTCGACCGTCTGTGGTGTAGAGACGCCCACGCACCCTGTGGATCCCCCTTCCCTGTCCTTACGGACGCCTTTGGTGGTGCAAAGGCAACTTTTCAGGGTCGCGTCCACGGCGAACCCCCAAAAGCAAAACGGGAGGCTCCCCCCCGCTTCCTCTGGGCACATCGGGAGCGCATCTCCTCTCCCGCCGCTCCGCCCCGGAGACGCCAGGAGACTCACCACCTGGAGCTTGATCTGGACGCAGAGGGACTTCTTTTTCACAGCCCCCACCCCGGTGGTGAAGGTCTTCCGCATGCTGGTGGCCCTGCGCAAGGCCAGCTGAGAGCCCCCCTCCAGCCCGGCTACTGAGCCAGACAACACCACGGCGGTCCCGGCCCGGCCCGCAAAGAGGTTGCTGATGATTTTCCTGAGAAAGGCCGGCAGCAGGAAAGAGAAGAAGAGGCACAGGGACAGAAAGAGAGAGAGAGAGAAAGAATGATTGCCATTGGTCTCCCTCTCCAGGCATTGGCCAACGATTCCACGTTTTATTTGGTGGCGTTGAAGATTTACTTCCTGGCCTCTTATTTAAAGGTGGCGGGAGAGACGCTGACCCAAAAGTGACATGAATTATAAAACAACTGAAAACAGGGCAACACACTTTTTAAAAAATCCACAATTCGGTGGGTCAGAGTCAAGCCGCAGCCACTGGACTTCCAAGGCATGAAAGGGTGAAATGCTGAGTTTTAAACCCCAGACAGCGAGTGGGCATATCCCTGCTGCAGTCGGAGACTCCCATGGGCAGAGGGCTTCCACCTGCGTGCACGCACACACACACACACGCACACACACACACTTTGGGACACCACTTACTTCTGGGACTCCTGCAAGCGAGGCAGGGCGTTCTGGGAGGCTGGGTTCTGCCTGACGTAGCTCAGCCAGCCCGTGGTGTCATACTCCACCCAGTTGGTGCCGTAGCTGTGGCCCAGGTAGAAGTGCTTCGGCTTATTGCTGGGGAGCAGTGGATTCTGGCCTGCAAGGGGGGAAGAAACCAAGGGGTGTGTGTGTGTGCTGTGTGTGGATAAAACCTTAAGAAGCCAGAAAAAAACAAGCCCATAGCAATCCCGGAAATTGGCAGAAAAAGTGGCATATGAGACATGAAGTGGAATGCCGCCCCCTGAGCCCAGCCTGGCCTTCCGGGGCTCAGACCAAAGGGCCTTCTTTTCCCCCGCTGACCTTTTTTGTCTCCATCCTGTGGGCCGTAGTAGGTGAACAGTCTTTCCAGAAGGGTCTCCTCATTTCCTCCGGGCTGAAGCGACTCCTCTTCCAAAAGCCACAGAAGGCCACGAGCCTCATCTGTCCGGGAAAGAGAGCGTACCTGGAAGGAGGGAGGGAGGGAGGGAGGGTGCCCGACAGTCCTGGCGTTATTAAAACTCCTAAACGCCCTTTTGAAAAGCCAAGATGCCCAGCGGGGGAAGGAGAGGAGAAAGGACGAGGGGAAGGCATGCATCTCACCCAAGACGTACGGCGACGCTCAAGGAAGGCCCTGTGGCCCACTTGGGGTTCCCTTCCTCCTTTTCTCCATGCAGCCACGCGCAAGCCACAAACCGGCCACGGACAGCCCAGCCCCAGGAGCAGTAAAAAGTGGAGAGCCCTCACCTACAGCGCAGGGCCAGCCTCGCTCCCTGGTTCTCCGACTTAAAGAGACGAGGCTTCTACCAGGGCAGAATCAATACTTAATACCAGCAACAGGGAGAAACACACATTGTCTAGTAAAATGTTCCAACACGAGACGTTTACTCGGTAGAAATTCAATCTGGAGGTTTAAGCAGCCCAAATTACTCTTTGCAACTCAGTGGGGAACCATCGGAGCAGCCGCTGCTCTCAATACACACACACACACACCTAACTTTCACACTGCCTTTGCTGCTACTGCTGCTACTGCTGCCCTCACGGCAGAGGGCGAGGGCCCCGGTCCTTGCAAGCTAACCAGAGCAAGCAAAACGAAAGCAAATCCCAAGTGTTGTGGTGCTGGAGGCCCTCTCCCAAGGGGCTTCTCCTCCTTAGGGGGCATGTGAGCACGCCAAGATTTCTCCATTTGCAAATCCCGATAGGGTGGGGAGGGAAGCACTTGCTGCACACACACAGAGAGAGAGAGAGAGGACCAGACAGCAAAAGGTGTGGAAGGTCTTTTCTTGCCAGAGTCTGAGAGAGTAACTGCAGACAGCTCAGGAGAAGGAGACCCTTCCTGTGGATCCGGTGCCTGCCTCTTCTGGACCGGCCCCGGCTCACCTGCACTCAGACAAGCAATGCTTCACAGATAAGGCCGGGAAGGTTCTGAGAGGTGATTCTTCCCATCGCTGGCTCTCTGGAAACCCCACCACCACCACCACCACCTTGTTCAGTTCCCTGGAGTAAAACCTCCTTTCCCCCTCCAGGCTCTGGCAGTCTCTTTAGCTGCTGAGTCTGGTGGCCTCTCAAGAGGAGCCAGAAAAAGGTCTCCCTCCATCATTTCCCTGCCAGACTCTGTAGAAGTTGACTTTCTTGAGACTGAAGTATACAGATGAAAATGCCCCACATCTGATTTAAAAACCCCTGCGTGTTGACTTGTTATCACTGTCTTTTGGTGTTTTCTTGCATTCTGAAAGAAAATACTTGAACATAAGTCAATGCTTCTCATTTAGGCCATTCTGACCATTAAACCTGCATATTTTGTATTCAGAGGCTTGCCATGAGTGAAGACTCTTGAGCTACAACTTCTTCAGCCTCTGCGTAAATCCAGCATCGTTCCACTCTTTACCCTCGGCATCATCGCTACCTCCTTTCCGAACGGGCTTGGCTTTGATGTGTTTCCACCTATCGTGGCTGTTCTCCATCACTTTGGTGTCTGGTGATTCGGAACTAGGAAGCGTGTGCCTGTCTCCATCTCGGGAGATTTTCTTTTCTTTTTAAAAACGAAGCACCTTGAACAAAGCCTCGAGGCTGTGGGGTGCTCAGGAAACGGCTCTGGGTCCATTTCGCCCAGCACTGTCAGCTCTCCCTTCCCTTCCCTGAGAGGTTCAGGCTGGATCCCTTCCCAGCCCTCTGCAAAGACGCTGCGGAGGAGGAATAAACGCTGGGCCTTCTACAGGCCAAGCGGCTAAGTCATAACTGGCCCAGGACCTCGCCCTCGCCCCCCCCCCCGACTTGGGAGACAGCATCCTCTGTCTGCAAAAGAAGGCTCCTAGGGAGGGAGGGAGGGTGTTAGAGCAGGCTGCTGCTTCCCAATGTTCGGGAAAACCTCCTTCCTTCCCGAGCAGTCAGTGGCCAAGAGCATAAGCCAAGGGGGATGCACAATGGCTCCTCTCCGCCTCCTCCTCTTCACACGGCACACAGACTGCTGGAATTCATGGGGGGGGGAACCTCAGCAAGCTGGCAGGTCTCCTCCATTAGGATGACAAGTGACAGCCGGGCCTTTCCAGCCAGGCCCCCTCCCTGCTTCTTTATTGGTCTGAACCCTAATGGAAAAAGGAAATGATGGGCTCCAGGGGCGACAGTCAAACAGCGGCGGTGGCAGCCGCCTCCCGTTCTGCCCAACGGATTTCTGGAGGCCTAGCAAGAGCTCCCGCAAGGGGCAACTCTCCCGGTGCCAAGAACAGATGGGCCCTGTGGGTAAGCTTCAAGGAAGGTAACAAGGCTATGGGCACAGTGGCAAAGGGGCGCCTGTGTGCGCACGCCTGACTGGGTGGCTGGGCATGTGAAAGAGCCAGCCAGCAGAATTCCAGCTCCCAGCCTCACCTGAACGGCAGGGCAAACTATTTCAAACAACGAGCATACACGAGGCTGTTTTCCTGCCTCCTGACCTGTCCTCTACCATTTTAGTTATTGAAGGCAAACGAGAGGGAGGAGAAGGAGAGGGGAATTCTCTTCCAGGCCAAAACAGCAACCATCAGAGGAGGGGGCAGGTTTAAAAAACTCATTTTAAATCCACCAGTATCCTGAAACTGTTCCAAACCTGCAAATGGCAGAAATACTTTTTTAAAGCCACGGGCGTAAGTATGCGACTCTCTGTCTAGTGGGTGCTTGCATGTAGGGCAAGGCGGGTGCCGAGCTCACGTTGGCCTCTCAGGGAACAACACGTTTGGGCCTTGCTCTGCCTTTTGCTACACACGTCTCCTCCCCTCAGCTTTCTCACCCCCACGGGCTCATGCACATGCGCACACATCCTTTCTACCCAGTGCGCCAGTTTCGCATTCTGGACACCTCAAAACTGTCACCCTCCTGATTAGTACGGCCCCCAAATGTGGCTCCAGCCTGGCCTTAGCTGATGGCTTACAGGCCAAGATGCGGATCCAGCTGAGCAAACCCCACCCCCTGCCCTCTCCTTCTTTACACACACACACACACACACACACACAACACACACACAGAGAGAGAGAGAGAGAGAGAGAGAGAGACAGAGGCATGCCGCCCTGCACTGCACCTCGGTTCATTCACCAGACCTGCCCAGACCTGAGCAAAGCCTTAACTAACCCTGACAGCTGTCTCCCCAGCTGAAGTGGAAGCTAATTGGAAGGATAAACACTCTGCCAGAGCAGGGCTCCCGTGCAAGGAAGGTCTGCCCCGTCCGTATGGGCGGCGAGGTGTCCAAAGAGAGGCCCATCCTTTTCTCCCTTCCTCCCCTACCAGCCCGAGAGCGGCACACACACACCCCGCCCCCACGCAGACCCCTCGGCCCAGGTGGGCAAACCTGAGGAGTGCAAGCAGGCCGCTCAAGCTGACAGGAGACACGCCAGGAGACTCCGGTCCTGAGCCCGGACCAACAAAGGGCCCCCTGGTCCATTCCTGTAGGGTTACGGCATGTCCACACGCACTCTTTCCTGCCTCCACCGGCCCCAGTGTTTAAACTCTGCGCTCCAGACCATAATATGCACCTCGCGAGAAACACTCAGGGTGACTCGAGCGAATGGAAGAGCAGTGGAGATCCTGACAGCTGAAACAGCCAAAGAGAGCCTCCAAATGGCACAGGCGGCCAGGGCCGGGGAAGGTGGTGGAGGGCCAGTCAGGCCTCCTCGGCAGGGTGAGGCTCCCCCCACACACACACACACACACACATCCCAGCTTCAGCCAAGGGGCTGCTGACCTCAGAGGCCAAGCCACCATGGCAAGGTTTCTCTGCTGCCCATCTGGGCTTCTTAGAGGAACCCAGGGGGCTGATGTTGCAAACTGAACCCAGGACGAAGTGCAATGCAGCGAGGCAAGGCTTGCGGGTTTTGGCCACGCATTCTGCAAGGAAAGGAGCTCAAAGCAGACTCCCTCTGCCAAAACCAAACCAACAGACTCCTGTGGGCACTGCCCGCTCATCCAGAGCAAGTTAGGTGCACAGGGAGGGGCCAGACCCTAAGCACGTCTCCATCTATCCCTACATGGCCAGCTCCGATTGCCCGACCTGGAGAGGCCAGAGGTGGAATCTGGGCTCTTCTGCAGGCCAAGCAGGGGGATCCCCCTGGACACACCCACCCTTGATTCCCTTCAGAACTCCCCTCTGGCCTCCCAACCCTGCAACACTTCCAGGCCCTCGCATGCTTTTTGGCTCCTGACTTCCTTGCAGCAGCAGATCCAAAACCCTTTGCCTTTTGAGCCTCGAGGAGCCGAGAGGCCTGCTTGTGACCAAATGGTCTTACTCCTCGGGGAGCAAAGGAAAAAAGGAAGATTGAGAGAAAGAGAGAGAGCGAGAGAAGGACTGAACCAGATCTTGCTCTCGGTCGCTCTCTCTTTCTTTCACACACCCACACTCACAACACTTCAGCCTCAGCAGTACTGCACGAGACGCAGAACCCACAACCAAGCAGCAGGGGCGGCATGCTTTGGCAGCACAGGCAGGGAAGGGAGGGACGAGAGCGGCCACCTTTCCCCCGAGGAGCCCTTTCATGCAGCTTACCAGTGCCTGGTGGGACGCTTGGTCCACTGTGGCTACAGAACCAGAGGTATTGGGTTCTAAGGCATCTAAGGAAAGCTCTATGTTTTCCTAGAGAGGATGGACAGAGGAGGCGTGATTAGTGGCCCAAGGGGCTACAGATTACCGTTAAAAGGCACTCAGAGAGAGAGAGAAAGAGAGATGGGGGTCAGTTGCATTAGTCAGACGAAAATCTACAGGCCAGAATCACACCCACCAGCAGGGGCTTCCCTGGAGAACCCCCTTGTGCTGCGTCCATAGCTCCAGATGAGAAAAATGCACACCTCCCTGGAGGAAAGGAACTTTTCCTGCTACGAATACCAATAGGGGTGTGTGTGGAGGGGATGCAGACTCAGGGGGCCACCAGTGAGGAAACGGTTCACCCCTGGGGAAAGGCAGGGTTGGCCACCTCACAGCTCTGGGGCAGTAAGCTGTCTCCCTCTCCACGCAGGCCCTAGGGATCTGCCAAAGAGTTTGAGAACTGGGCCTCCTGCAAAAAATCCGATCTCTCTATTTAAAGGAAGCAAGTTCCTGGTTCTCAGGGGTAAGTGGGAAAAACTTGGAAAATATCAACCATGATCTCTCTCCGCTCTTGCTAGCTTTGGTCATCCCACTCTGCCTGGGTCATCTGCACAAAATATTTGAAATAAACCAACACGGATATCATCCAGAGTTATTTGAAAAAGTGGGGGTCGGGGGCAGGGGGGCGTTCCAGATTAATTGGGGAAAGTCTGTCTTCACCCAGGTCATGTAATGGCAACTCCGCCCCCCCGTCCCCCGTGTATGGGAAAGAGACCAAAAAAAGGTAGCTTCTGAGCTCTGCATTTACTGGAGAGGGGGAGAAAGTCTTCTGATGGGCCTCTGTGTCAGTCGAGTTTTGCTGAGATACCTCCAGCCCAATTTTAAGAAGAGGTGCAGAGGAATGATTGAGAACCCCATCCCCATTTAAAAAAAAACCAACAATACCTTGCTTTCTAGGGAGGTGGCAGATCAGAAAGCAACTGATTAGGGTTAATAAGGGCATCTAAAACAAAGCTTCTCTCCCTCTTTGGCTTCAAATCAGCTCTAGTCTACAGGGTCTTCATTAGAATGGCAGCGCAGAAAAAGGATTAGCTGGAGGAGAGAAAGGGGTCCCTGTGCACTACCTGGGCGCTCCACATACCCCCCCACCCACCCCTCTGGTTCCTCACGGCTGCAGCAGACAACGGACGCCGGCACTGCTGTGGATCAAAGACGAGGTTGTTGCTTTTGCCCGGTGGGAGTCACACAACTCTCTCCCTGCGACCGTCAAACCAAGACACGGTTACCTCCTTGTACCGCTCCAGCTCCTGCACAAAAGTCCGCTCGTGGAAGAGGGTCTGCAGGCGCTCCTGGGCGTAGTTGTGGCACAGCTCCTCAAAGGTGGCCCCTCGGCTCTGGCCGCCCATCTCAGGGTTCTGGAAGCCTGGGGTGTCCACGATCATCATGGAGCACAGAGAACGCTGGCTGGATTTGAGAGCCCTGTGCGGAAGGAGAAAGGAAGGAAGGTGGAAAGGCTGAGGGGGGGAGGAGAAGGGGGGGGGTCCCAGGGTCCTGGCACTTTGAGGCAGGAAGCCCCCCCCTCTCTTTCTCTCTCTATTTCATCTATCACGTGGTTGGCTGAACAAAGGAAACTGCCTTGTAACAAGATGGACTCATTTCTATGCCAAACACCAAATTTATTTATTTTACTTGTTAGCTACACCTCTCTCTTTCCTCTCCTCCAGGGAAACCAAAGCAACATAGGCAGCTTTTTTCCTCCCGTTTTTACCCTTTCAACAAGACAGTGGGGTGGGCCAGGCTGGGAGTCTGCCACTGAGCCCAGATCACCTGGGGATTTGTGCCTAGTTTTCCTGAGTCAAGAAGGCGATGCTGGCTCTTCTCACACATTCTTTTCTACTCTACGCGGCAAGGGCTCCCCACGATCTCAGGCATGGAGGGACCTTCCTCCTCTCTTACGAACAGAGGAATATAAAAAGGACCTTGAAAAACAATCACATCAAAGGCTAGTGTCTTCATATCCCACTCAGCCACGGACCAACCAACCCCCTCCTGGGCTTCCTCAAGATCACCCACTTCCTCTCATTTCCCCCCCTCCCCAAGAACTGGTAGACAATCACCAACCAGTAGGAACATGTAACCTTCATGACCGACAGCCCCTGCAGCCTCCACCCCCACAAATCTCTCTCAATCCAAGCTGGAAGCTGTCATGACATCCTATGGCAGCGAGTTCCACAGTTTAGCTTTCTGCAGCACAGAAAGTTAAACTGTGAACCTTCCATTATCCTGCTTTAGTAACTGACCTTGCTGGTTTCTAATACTGAAAGAGACCTTTAATTAAAAAATAAATAAAAACAAAAAAACACAGACGGGGCATGCAAAGCGAGGGGATCAACTGCCGAGGGGCAGTCTTTGCCCCCAAATTATACTCTGCAAGCAGAAACAACTTGGCCCGGCCAGCGGGGCAGAAGGAATTGTGGGGTCCTGTGCGGCTCCTTCTCCCCCGCTGCTCAAAGCACAAAAGAGCCGAGCCGAGCCGCCGCACCTCTTTCACGGGCTGGCCAGTCCACTCCATCCTACTGAAGAGGGCTGCCACCTGGAGGGAAGGGAAAGGTGCCCACTCCGAGGCTATGCCCTGCTGGCTTGGTGGCCCAAAGTGGGGGTGGGGGAGGGCTTTCTTGCTCCCAACTCTGCAACGTGGATCTAATGGGTGCAGAAAGCCTTTCCCCGCCATTAGCTCAGCTAATGGACTCCGGGGTCTGAGAAGGTTCATCGACAAGGCACTTGCGCCAAACGCATGAATATGCAACAAGGTTGTCAGAACCCGGGAGCAGGAAGAGGAGAAGGCTTTTGCAAGCGAGAAAGTGGCAATCAGCAGGAGCTGACAGAAAGAAAAACTGAACCTGGGTTACAGCATTGTCTTTTAGCACCATCTGCAATAATGGAGTGACGTTTTTGCCTAGTGCAGTTTGGGGAAGAAAAAAAAAATCCCATTTCAACTGGGAAAGTCTGCAGACCTCATGTGCTGCTCCCCCTCTCTTCCGCAATACGTTCTGCTCTGTTTCAGACTTCTGGGAGGAGAGAGGGGAGTTTAAAACCTGCAAGCCTCCAGCTTTCCCACCGATTCTGGTCCAGGGAGCCACGGCCTGCTCAAAAGGAGCCCCCGGTCTCAGAGCCCCTTCGCCAGAACAGTTGGGGCGGGGGAGAGGGAGAGCCTCTAGGAGAAGGAGAAGCCAGGCGCCTGCTCTGCTTCTGCCCCCTTGAAAATCGTTATGGAACAGATGAAAGGGCTTCCATTCTCCTCAGATCTTTTCATGTTGGAACAACAGAGACTCGGAATGGATGAAGCCACGGATGGGTTAACGCATGGGGGCAATAATGCACCATGCAGGCGCTCCTTGTACCTGTTGAGGAGGGAGATGAGGAGCGTGAAGAGTTCAGAGTACAAGCTTGAGGTGAAGGCCTCCAAACACTCCAGAGCAGACGCTTTCGGACCTGGGGAGCCATTGGGGGGGGGGGGGGGGGGGGGGGGGGGAAAGGAAAAG